ACATGGGGCAGCAAAAAATAACCAAAAAAGCTGACCTGGAGCTGGCTCCAGCTCTAGGGGATGGTTAGGGCACGGACCACAGGAGAAGAGGCATGGGCTTGCTTTATGCAAGCCATGGCCCTGATGAACCTGACTGCTGGAGAGGGGCTGACCTGAAAATGGAGCTTCCCAGGGTGTGGGTCTCCTCCTGGCCCCTCACCTTGCCCCAGCAGTGGCCAGCCCCGGAGCTGCCGGCGACCCAGCCGGGAGAGCAGGAGATGTGGGCTCAGCTTTCTCCCCACGCGGGGCTGAGTCTCCCTGCACAAGTACATGATTATTCACAGCCTCCAGCATTTGCATGGTGGAGTCACGAGTCTCACAACACCTGATCTCCCGGGAGAGCTGCCTCCTGCACTTCGGGAGGCAACGGCCCACATTCAGAAAGTGGGACTCGGTGTCTCACGGCATCCCACATGGCCCAGCTGTCACCTCCTCCCCACTCCACACGGGGACCGGGAGAAGGGAGCCCACCCTGTCCCTGCCACCGCGGCGAGGAAGATGGCTTCAGGGCAGGGACAGGCAGGAACCCTGAAAACGCGGGAGCTGAGCGTGGAAATGCTGAGCCAGCCTGCAGCGTCGCTGTGCGCGCAGTGAGCCTGCCACGGGAAAGACCAAAAAAGCCCCTCGACGGAGTCACTGAAGGACAAGCAGGCAGATGGGCTCGGCTCACGCCAAGCTGGGGTTAGGCTCGTTCCCTCCCCGTCCCCTCTCCCATCGCCGGTGGCTCATCGCCGGCGCGTGACTCCAGCTGGCAAGCAAGGAGGAATACTCTGCCATGCCTTCCCGGCTCCACATCCAAGTCGTGGAATAATCCACCTGTGGTATTTCAGAAAAGACACACTAACTTCTGTGGAGAGGGGTCAGTTGAGTCACATTAACAACTTTTTCCTCCTGTTAGCAGGTCTCCAACGTAGCTGATTACTCATCAGCCCACTAATAGACTCACTCACACAGCACTCCCTGGATCAAGCAGCGGCAATTGTCTGTCTTGTCTTATTAACCTGAAAGAAGGATCCGACGCTGGTAACGCGATACCCCATCCTTATCTCGTCACCTACTTCTCCAGCCAAAATACAACACTCTGTGGTGCAGAGCATCCCTGTCCCAGCGCTGGCCAGGGGAAGCCAACACCGTCAGGCTCAGCCTCGCGGTGCTGCTCTGTGGGACCTCGGCTGGGGCAGATACAGCCCAGGCGGGGTGGGAGACCCTGGGCCCACGGCAGCCACCTCCAGGCACTGTGGACCGGGCTTTGCTCCCCCAAGCAAGGGGCAGCAAGGCACCGCTGACCTCCCCGGGGACCTGTCTCACCCTTGGCACGAGGTGGACTGTCCCCACGCTCGTGCCATAGCTCCCTGTCCTACTGCCCCATGGTGGGACACGTCCCCCCCCAGCACTCCCGGGGCTGGCAGCGGTCCCCCCCCATCCTAAAAGGATGCCGGAGCGTGCTCTGCTCGGTGCCACCAACTGCAGTCCCCTCCAGCCCAGCAGCACCGCGCTGCTGCTCCCACCCCCCCCGCAGCACCCCGGCACTGCCGCCCACCCCATTACTCACTGGGCCTCTCTGGCACTGGGAACACACCTCCCCGCGTGGGGAGCATGGGCACAGCACGTGCTCCTGGGGGCTGGGGGACTTGTCATCGGCGCTGTCATCGCCATGAGT